ATATTCAAAAAGAAGAAAGTCAAGGGTTTTTTTTACCTAGTTGTCCTGTCTTTTTTTCCCCTAAATTTGTACATGTTATATGAGATTTCATAACATCCGTGCCACTGTCCAAGCAAATATGAAACATACAATTATTCATACTTCCTAAGCTAGTTGTGTTAAGCGTGTTCTAAAGCAGAATTTGAAACCACATTGCATGTTGGGATTTCAGGTTTTCTAGATTAAAAATAAATCAGACATGCGTTTATCTGCTGATTCCAATTCATGGCTCATGTTCTAGACTTCTAAAAGTTAAAACGATAATACAGCTTTAATTATTACTTTAATTTCACTATTTTGAGCATATTACCTTGACTGGGTTTCAAATTAAGGCTATTTCAATAGTTGAAACAAGTTTTGTTGAAATTTAAATTTTCAGGTTCACTTAAAATCGAATATAGCTAAATTAAAATCCAGTGAATAATTAGTATGTTTACTTGTTTGTACATGTTTATTGTGTTACCGATAACTTCATATAGTCAAATCAAACAAGGTCTGGACAGTGCCTTGATTTGCAATATGCGCACTGATTAATGAACTAGATGGAAAATAGGAAGAGCAAGAAGAAAAATAAAGACAGGGTGGAAGAATGGGGGAGGGATGATCATGGTAGTAAGTTACTTTTTGGGGGCGGGGCTTTATATTTTTCCAAGATGGGTGTTTACATTGACTGGCGCATGTTTAGTAATGACATTTAAGAAAACGGTATAAAGGCATGATAAATTTTGGCTAGTATGGATTTATTGAAGAAGTATGTTTGTATGTACTTCAGTTTTATGAAATTGCATTATCATGACTATATTCTCTTTAATTTACTGATCAAACCTGCAATATGGTAATTACCGGTACATACATTCTCTTTACTTTTCAGCTAATACTGAGCTGGAGTTGAAGAACACCAAGGAAGAAAAAGAACGAATTACTAAAGAAAAAGATGATAAAATAAGTGAATTACAACTAAAAATAGACAGTATGGAAGTGTCCTACGAGGGTGTACTTCATGTAAGTTTAAACAATTTAGTGCACTTCAAAATAGTGAAACGAGTTGAAGCAGTTTAAACAAGTTGAAACCAGTTAACATAGTCAAAAACCAGTTTAAGCCAGTTAACATAGTCTAAACCAGTTAACAAAGTCAAAACCAGTTGAAACCAGTTAACATAGTCAAAACCCGTTGAAACCAGTTAACATAGTCAAAACCAGTTGAAACCAGTTAACATAGTCAAAACCAGTTGAAAGTGATGATGAAATCATTACAAATTTAGATGAAGAATTAAGGATATGAAACTTTTCTAAATATGCAAGGTGATATGCCACCAGGACAATTGGAATACATATTTCTGCATGACTTCCACAATCAAACTGACCAATAACATTATATAAGTGTCCATGAAAACATTTGATTGTGTAAACAGAAACAAACTATGATATAGAGAGATGCAATTTCATTCATTAAAACAAAATCACACTGTATACACTCCAATAATATGTAGGGAGAATCTTAAATATTTCTTCCAGGTTTACTCACATTTATTTATTTTTAGCAGTGTTTTGTTTCTCACAACTTTTTATGGGCTTCATTGCATGTCACAACATGCAAATGTGCATCTCTTTTGATATCTTTTCATTTATAATGTTGTTACCTGTACTGTTGTCATTCCTCCCATTAGACAACATGAGGAGAATAGCATAAGTTAACCACAATTTATTTATCCAGGACATTAATAATGTTGGATTCATGAAGCCAAATCACTTTCATCCATACATGTAATAGGTTTTAGGACGCATCCATGCACACAAAATAAACACAAGGAATTGAATCATTGATCAGTCAGTAAACAAATTACAGTGAAATATAAAATGTTATACCATGATTTTGGCAGGAGTATTTACAAGAGTTGACTGAAAGAGGTTGAGATACAAGAGCAGTTATCGTATTTATTTATTTCTTTTTTCAGTGCATAAATGAGTTACGTCTGTGGTCAATATTTTTAAAGATCTGGTATACTAATACACTTCTATGGATCGATAAAGTCATTGCTCACAAATTCTAGCTGTTTTGAATAGTTATTAGGGCAATTATTACAAAATATTATCTACGATGATACATGTAATTGTTGGCTTACATTTGCTTCTATTGGAGATGAGCAAATACTGATTATTGTCTGGTTTGTTCTAGGATGCCTTGGATAATATGATGTCAAAGGTAGACGCTGCAAAGGACAGGTGGCATCAACAAGCAACCAAAATACACGACCATAATAAAAAGCTTCTATTAGAGTTTGGTTTGAATCCGCTCGATCTTTAAAAAAATTTACTCTTCATTGCAGGGCAGGGGCATGAGCTGCGTTTTTGACCAATTTTTGTAATCCAGTTAGATCCGAGGAGACCTTTGGGATAGCAATGTAACATGGCATTTAATTATAGTGCACAAATAGCTGAAATGAGTTTTTGAAAAATCAGCTCTGCGTTACTTGTCTAAATGCATTTTACCTTGTGTGTCAGGGATTGCATTAACCCCAAATTCTGTTTCTAGGTGATGTACACCTAGCAAAATAATTATTTGTTCATAGTCCAAAGATTGAAAGGATTATGGTAATTTCTTTCAAACAATTCCAAACTTTGATAATTGTCCCATTTTTATTTATTCGCACTTTCTAATTGTCATGGTACTTACCAGAAACATTAAATATATATATGGATAATTTTACAATATCTAGAAAATAATTTTTGTTTCAAATTATCCCAATCTTGGATGAATTCTCTATTGTATATATGCAAAATTTGCTCACTACACAATTATGTATTCTAGAATATTCCTTCTGTTTTACCTTTTTTTCATATTTGTATCAAATAAAATACTTCCTATAAAAACTGGAGGAATTTCTTTGCTAAATTAGTTGGTCACATGCTATAGTCCTTGGCTAGACTAGCTGGCCATCTGGGGCAGGGACTTGCCTCAATCATCTGCATCATGGTGGAATTCTTCAGCTAAATTAGCTAATAAAATGGTAACTTCTTTGCTTATTTAGCTTGTTGGAAGCTAAACTAGCTGGGCATCATGGGGGAACTCTGGCTAAATAAATTCTTTGAATGAATTAGATAGTCATGTCATGGAAACTCAATCTTTTGCCAAAATAGCTGATCATAGAAACTTCTTGTCTAAATAAGCTAAGCTAGCCAAAGAAGGTGAGGGACTTGTCTAAGTCAGATAGCCAAATGGCATTTCATTTGCAGTCATGTTACATACTCAATTAAAAAAAAAACATACTGAACAGTTTCTATTTTCTCCTTTTAATGCCAACCCATAAACACAGAAAGCGGAAAGTTTTGTACAAATCTTTGTCTTGGATAAAATCTAGAAATGCAACAGTTACAAACTGTCATATACCCCTGATATTTTAAATATGGAAATAATAATGTCCATCTGATTCTATAAGCATCCATGGTAGATTCTATGGACACCATGTATACCAATGCTGTAAGAAAAAGATAAATACAAGTCATTGTCAATGACACGTCCCCGTTCCGTTCATATTTGAGTGACATATACATTCAAAGCAGATCATGACCGAAATCTCAGATCACTTTCAGTGGTCTGATCCGAAATGCACCTGCATATGTACAACACATTGTACTAAATCTGAACAAAATCCATCCATGCATGACTGAGATCCGGTTTCGGAATTGTGAAAATAAGTGATTTTTATGCATTTTCGGCCTTAAAATGGCCGCTCTTCGGCTATCGTTAATCGGATCATGAAAAAAATGCATGTGCATATGTCCCATATAATGTGTGATGCATGAGTGAAGTTTGAACTTAATCAATCCATGCATGTTCGAGATACAGGTGATCACGGACGCACACAGGGCAAACCATAAGTCCCCGTTTTCGGACTACGTCCGAACGGGGACTAATAAAGTACAGTATAACTATATAGTTACATGTAGTAGATTCAAAAGTGTATACAGAAATGTTCCTGGTGTGTTTTTACAAATAAAATGACAGTCTGTCGTGTTGATGGGAAAGTACTGGTAAATGTAGTTACATGTATTTCAGGGCATGAAATTTCTTGGTAGCCTGTTGGGCTAACAGTTTTAAAAGCCGATAGCTCTGTAGCAATACTGGACAGTCTATTTGAGTTTAGTAGGTAAGAGAGTCATGCAAAAAGTGTGAATACAAATAAATTAATGTCATATTTGCTGAATTTGTATGGAACAGTTGCAGCTTTTATAAAAAAAAAAAAAAAAAAAGATTGTCATTATTGTACATTTCTAGTAGTCTTATTGGACTACATTTACAATTTTTTTAAAATAATAGCCCCCATGACAACTCTTCCAAAATTGCAGTGGTTTACAGTATCATGCAATATATAAATAGACTAAATTCAAGTACACACCTAATTTGATTCCTTTACTGATGTCTATATACAACCAACATCTTTCAATTTACTAACTAATTCTTCTGCACTCTCTACTTTAACACCAGCCTCTCTGGTTGGTGGGTCGTCAACTTTCAATACCTCAACATGTGGTGTCATATCAACACCCAAGTCAGCTGGTTTCTTCTTTAACATTGGCTTCTTTTTAGCTTTCTAGTAAAGGAAAATATGACAATTATATTGGAGGTGAAAAATTATACTCACTATTTTACATATAGCACCAAAAATGGAATTTACCATTCTGTAAAAAGCTGCATCTGCAATTGCTCCAATGTTTGAATTTCTCTGTTACAATTGTATGTTGGTTAAACCATGTCACCAACACTGAACACATTCCACTTATTTGCACTAAAGTTTGTGATGGAATCCAGATCAACAATTTTCCCGAAAAAATGTTCTCACTCTAGTCATGCACTTTTTAACAATAGTGATTGGCTAATTACTGTAAAATACTTGGCTTTAGTTGGAATTAATTTTCGCTAAAGACATTTTGGGTGTTTTGTATGGAATTTATTTTTACTAATTTTTGACGAGTTAAATGTAAAATATAACAAAAAAGGTACATGTATATTTGCTGGATTTTATTTTCGTTGAATCATTCTTTCAGCAAAAATTCATTCCAAGCGAAAATAAAGTATTTTACAGTATTACACAAATCAGACATTTTGCAGATATCATTCACAAACTAAACCAGGGTACCGGAGTGACACTTACCATGATGTTTGGTAATGTTGCATATCTTGGTTCATTCAACCTGAGATCAGCTGTGATCACGCATGGCATCTTGACTTTAACAGTCTCAAGCCCACCGTCAACCTCTCTTGTCACTTTGAGATCACCATCTTCAACAACAACCTCCGATGCAAATGTTGCTTGTGGCCAATCTAGATAGGAAGCTAACATCTGACCCGTCTGGTTACAATCATCATCAATTGCCTGCGATTGAAGAAATTTACATCATAATTAATATGATTTGCAACCATTTTGAAGAAGTGGCATGCTAGCATTTGGATTCAGGTGTTGTTGGTATGCTACATACAGCCAAGCACAAAGTATAGAGACTCTAATAGTGGACTACTAAGTTTTGGAAAACTGTAGCCTTGGAACAGGCACAAGAAATAGTACTGTAAAATCTATATTAGAAGCCGCGGTTTCTATTAAAATGGTACAGTGCAACAGAGGGGATGCGGCTTCTATTAGAGCATCTACACATATGAGAAAATGTGATTTTTTTGGTTTTCATTTATTCAAAAAGCATGGGTGCAACTTCTATTAGGGATGCGGCTTCTAATACAGATTTTACGGTGTACGCTAATTTTTAGCCCTGCATGTAGATGTATTGATGTATCAGTATGTGGGTCATTGCGTTTGGAGTTTAACTCTTCGTTGGATTTGAACTTGGAAGTTTTGGGTCACAAACCTGACGTACGGTAACAATTGTTATCATATTTTCTCTATTAGTAGTGCATACACTTGCATAAAAAATTAAAATTTTTCTAATCGAGTGTACACATTCAATAACTATTCTTCATTTCATGAGTATCTACATTGTATATGAGTCAAGAAATATTATAACAAATCAAAATAACCTGCATTTTAACAAACACATATCATTTCTAAAAATGCATTTCATCCTCGTCTAGTGTGATAATGGAATGATCCCTACTGTGTGTGTGTCAATGGAATGGGGTCATCAAGTCTAGATTGGACAAAAATCAAAAATGTTTTGCAAAGTTGCAAGCCATCTTGCTAACTGACTGTCGGAATATTTCCCAGAACTGCTGTAACATACTAGCCTAGACTGGTGGAAGTACCTCAATTACTGGTAAACAAGGTTACCACAAAGTATACCAGTCACTGCAGCCTCTTTATTTCATGCTGTGGCTTACCTCACCCAGGCTAACATGAACCACTTTTAATTATTTAAACCCCTAACCTATACCTGTATCAATTACAAATCAATAACAACCAGTATTCTAAAGGGTGTTCTCAAGTTTTCAAGGTATTTTATGTATCCCCAAGACACCCCAATCCAATGTAGAATATTTTAAAATATTTTGTAGATTCCAAGCGTACAATTTCAGAGCATATACAATGTAGTACTTTTAAAATTTATTGAATTTATTTTATAAGTAGAAACAAAGTCAAATACGGTAGTACAACAAATTCACTAAGCTTTAATACACAACAAAAATATTACTGTAGAATACATTATTTTCGCTTGGAATTAATTTTCGCTATTTTCGCTGAAGAAATGATTCAGTGAAAATAAAATCCAGCAAATATACCTTTTTTCCTATATTTTACATTAAACTCGTTAAAAATCAGTGAAATTAAATTCCATACAATACACCTAAAATGCCTTTTCAGCAAAAATTAATTCCAGCAAAAATAAAGTATTTCACAGTATTCAAAAACATAAACTTTTCCTTGTTTATATGATAAAAAATTAAGTTGGCCACCCCACCCCAAAACAACCTTACAAGATTATTGACAGATTATTTTGAAACTTCAAAGTTGTGCAATGACAGCAGGAATCACACTTACTTGCTTTCCAACAATAAACAAGTTGGCGTCTTCATCCTTTGCTAATTTTGCTAACATTTTTGACACCTGTAAAGGGCCAATTCCTTCGTATTCTTTCTCGGCTATTTCTACATGAATTGCACGATCTGCACCCATGGCTAATGCTGTACGTAATGTTTCCTGTGAATTGAAACAGAGCACACAAGTTGTATAAGGTGCACCTATGGCTAATGTTGTACAACATGCTTCCTGTGCGCATTACTACATGTTGAAAAAGCGACAGTTTTAGCGAATGATAAAATGATGTAATAGCGAAATGTTAATTTAGCGAATCTCTCTTGTCATTGTTGATTTCCTGTTTTCACAATACTTGTCTGTTGCATGCCAAAACAAATGCGCAGTTATCACCTCCATAAAAACAAAGAAAAACTGTCAAGTGTAATTTTGAATTTATAATGAAGTCATTAGCGACATCTTGAATTAGCGAATCAGTTCTCTTGCTAAATTTGCTAAAAAAGACATGCTTGCGAAAAAGACATGTTTTAAAGTAGTACTTGTGTGCACATTTGAATCAGGTGATATATTAATATTATTAGTGAGGAAACAAAATGACCACCAGTCAGCCATTTTTGTTTAGAATTATGAAAAAAAAAAAATTTTAAGAGTAAATTTGTTAACAGATTATTTGAAAGGGGGAATAAAGTATTGGATATGAGCTGTAAATACATACATGGATTTTAGCAGATTTCTATAAAGTGGTAGCAATGTAAACCTTTGTATGTGAGGCTTCCAAAAACACACAATATTAGAAGACTAAGTTGCTTTAGTAGCTTGCATCATAGTACTGTCGTGTTTCAGTAACAAAATTGTACATAATTGTACACAATACACTAGCCAATTAAACTTGAAAATGGGTAAAAGTGAACTACCGGTAATCAACATATGGTGTTTGTCACACTTTTGGTATTTAATTTATATTCGTGATTGGGTGCACGTAACGTAGTGATACATTATACGTGATTGGACAATGCAAACCAGATGGCGTGTTGCCACTAGTGCATTGATAGTTGGAACCACCTGGGGTTATGAAATTAATTAACGTATTTAAACTTCACACATGCGTGTGGTCGGGCAGTTTTGCCAGAGGTTGTTGGAGAGTACATGCTTGCTGTACGATCGTTGTCGTCAGTTTAGGTCGGCCATGGTAATGTTCACTGAGTCAAGTTACAGGTGAAACTCTGGTTTAAAGTCATTGGCAAGTAAGTGGCCTGTAATTTAAATGGAACCGAATTGAATTGAACTGAACTGAACTGAACGAGTTACCCGATTTGTTGAATGAAGCCTTGGCCTCGTGTCAACAGTCGCAACAGTGGTTGGCGAGACAGAACCTTGCCTATTTTTGTACGTAATATTATACGCCCCGAATACGCTTATTATCATAAGGAGTAAATTACTTTGCTATTGTCATGCGTTTATTTGCTCTTAGACAACTGTGTGGTGTGGGGCACGCTTTGGAAACGTGGTACCGTGGTGTCAACAAAGACTACTGGGACACCGGGTAGAAGCTGACGGGGACATTGTGTTACTAGTCTGGTCTGCGTCCTACTGAACTACTACGTAACTGGTGGTGTAACGGGAGCACACTCGTAATGGATTGAGAAGTCTAGGTTCGAATCCTAGCAAAGCTGACGTGGAAGAAGTCACAAAGGAACCGGTATACACACCGCAACGCCGTCGCTCTATTAATTGTTGTGTAGGACAATTTACTTGTTATATTGTGAGCTTATTGAAACCAGTACTTGTCATTTGTTTGTATGCTAGTGATATTGTTAATTTAATGTAATCTTGGTTTGTTGAGTTGCGTCGACCACTCGTTATATAGTATAGAATCGTTTAATTTATCCCTGTTTTAATAAGGGGTACCCTGGTTAGGACATTGAATGTGTCACGTCCTGAATTGTATTTATTTAACGCGTTTGTAATAGTGTCATGTGTAGTAAAATAGTATTGTGAATATTCAAATACGATAGTTTCATTGCATTTAATTGTATGCCAGTGCACGATTATGGATGGAGTAGCAGGACGAAGGTATTTCTGACCGAGCTTGGTGACAGTGTTCCTGTAACAATCCACAGCCCATATCACATGACTTTTTTTGACCAATCACAGAACTGTACAACAGTGTCATTTTATGCAGTAGTCATAGACTTCTATATTGCAGTTACACCATGTCTGGGAACATCAAAGAAACTGAAGTTTTTATTTAAAGAATGACGACCGTCACAATGCATCATGGGTCCAATACAACAGCATTTAAAATACATTGAATAAACACCGAGAAATAATTGTAAACTTATAGTAGCTGCTGAATTACTATGTCAAATCAAGAAAAACAGACACTCATGTACGGCAGCTAATAGCGGGGATGCCTGGTGGCTGGGAGGAAGAAATGCTGTGGCGTGAAGCTAGGCGATTAGATGCCGTACACAAGTGTCAGTTCAAGACATGCAGTACATGTTTACCTTGATTTAACATAGTATTTACCATGCCATTTGATTGGTGTTATTTACATGTAAAATACATTACTTGTTTGCTAGAAATTTGAAGACATGTTGCAAGATGACGATAGACTTATAATGTTATGTAATAAACTTTGACCCCATACCTGACATTTTGCTGGACCACAACTCACAGCAACAATTTCTTTGGCTATTTTCTTTTCTTTTAACCTGACTGCTTCTTCTATGGCTATTTCATCAAATGGGTTCATGCTGTGTTTCACGCCATCGGTGACAACACCCAATTTATCTGGACGAACACGTACCTGAATATAAAAAAGAAATGATTATAATTCATTTGATATAAACATTGAGAATTTCATCAACCAGTTAGTGTATGTAGTAGCAAGAAATTAAGTCGGTCCAACCACAACTATTGAAGTATACTAGGAGCTCGGGAGCACACCGAATGAATAAACACAGTTTGCATTTGGATGTACAGCTGTTACCCTGAAGAAGACGATCCTAGCATCGTCGAAAAGTTGGTTTTTATTTCTTCTATTCAAGATGTTTAAGAACTGGTTGAGCAACCTTTTGTATTTTAAAATTACAGTTAGTGTAGCCAGAGATGTTTGTAATTTTGTACTGTAGTTTAGGAAGGTTATCTGGTTAAATAAGCAATTTCCCCAAATAACTCTGGACTACTTTTTGACAATTATCTCTGTACAGCTGTACAAATATATTAGGTGTAAGAAATAGACAAATTGACAGAATAAAAATAATGATACAAGTTGTTTCAGTAACTTGTTCTACTTGACTACACAAGGAGTCTTGTTCTAACTTGTTCTACACAAGTGTTTTTTAATTAAAATTTGTAATTTGGAAAGTACCATCAACATATTTCACATTAACTCAAAACCAATTTTCTTCCATATAACTACTTAAAAAGTTGAATTAATAGCATAAAAACAAAACTTCCAAACTATAAAATAGTTAATTAATTTTATGATGCTGAACTACATTGTGTATGCTCTATTAAATGTGCATCTCAATAAGAAATGCACATTTCAATTTTCAATTAGTGTTTTGTACACTGAATCATTAAAATTATATTTAGTTTGACCATGGACAGATGCAAGTGCATCATTAACATGAGATCATAGCAATTTCGGTTTTGGTATTGATTCAACTTTCTGAGTTGGGAAGTTTGGAAAATTAATTTACATACATTGATCCATGATGCGCTAAGTCATAAAAAGCCTAACATTTTTGATTTCTGGAAATCCATAAACCCTACAACTGCCTAGGTTTGGTAGCCTGTTTATCTTATTAGCCATGCAAATATATACAAACATCACATACTATGGACCACCAAGAGAATGGAAATACTCTCTGTTGATAGGTCAGTGTGAATGTTAAATATTGAACCTTCTCAATTGTTTAATCTCTAAATTTCAGACAAAATGGCGATGTTAATTGATCTTTATTGATTAGTGATAGTTTTGATGGTGCGATAAAAGAAAATATTATGTTTTCATAAGTTTACTTTAGATATCATTTGGCATTGCACATGTTTGTTTTACACAAGTCTATGGGAGAAACCATAGCTCTTCTGTGTCAATAAAATTCTAGTATCTAAAAACAACAACTTTAAGCAAAAGTACAAAGATGAAAGACCAACACAAGAAGACCCATGGACCCACAGCTACAGGTACTGAATTATTTCAAACTCAAAAATGACTTCATAACACTACAACTTATTAACTGTTATTTGCGGCCAAAAAAACCCACCATGGTAATATTGATATAATCACTACGGTACCGTATTTGTCCGATACCCTGAGCGATGTTTTAATTTTTGGGAGATGAACTCATCATTTTCACAGTGATTATAACAGCTTATTATCAAACACTAGTCATGATTTCACTTTGTATTCTTGAACAGGCGTGACTACAAAATATGTAAATTGACTTCAACTGGACGGGGCCTGAATGGACTGAAATGTTCCAAAAATCTAAATCAGAATACTTACAGAACATTTCTGAAACTTTGATCTGCACTAGATATTATCTGTGATTCATAGGTAAAACATATTTCGTAACCAAAAGATCGCCCACATGCTGTAACATAGCCCATGAGCGAGGTTTTTGATGGGCGGTGTAACAAATAAATACAGTGACAGGACATATGATTTCACCTTAACAGCCACATATATATACTAAAATATGTAAATGAAAACAATGTGTGGGAGAACCAACATCTGCATAATGCTGCCTCTATAACAAAAAAGGTTATGGACAATCTCCGAAAAATATTCAAAATTAACAGTCAAGAAAAAATGCAGGATGACAACAAAGGAAAAAAGCAAAAAAACAAATTGCGTACATACAGAATGTTAAAAAATGACTGCTCATATGAGAAGTATCTTTCAGTAATAAAAGACTCTAAACATAGATCAGCACTAACAAAACTAAGAATTAGTGCTCATGTTCTACAAATAGAAATGGGTCGCTACAATAAAATAGATGCATGCAAAAGGAAATGCCCTGTGTGTGACCTAGACGAAATTGAAGATGAAAAACATTTTCTGCTTAACTGAAAATTACATTGTATATGAAAATGAAAGAAACCAACTAAACACTAAGTCAAAAATGTCACTCCCAAACACGACAGATGAAGAAAAAATGATAGCTATGATGAACAATGAAAATAAAACAATTATAAAACTAGCTAAATACATATACGAATGTTTCAAAATTAGAGAAAATAACATGAAAGAGCCTTCATTCTCATCCAAATAAACAACATTATTAATATCAAGGCATATCTGCAAGGTTTTTTTTTTATATTTTTTCTGTTATCATCATTTTTATGATATTTTATCTTATTTTCCTTCTTGTTTTTTTTTCATCCACACTTTATTGTAATTTAACTCAAGATCCTATAAAGGATACGATATCAATAAAGTTTATTATTATAATTATTATTATTATTATTATTATTATTATTATTATATATATATATATATATATATATACATACACAAGTCAAGCCGCTGTGTTAATTAGAAACACAAATTATAAATAACTTAAATTATTAAAAAAAAATTGTAGACACAAAAAGTAGAACTATAAATATGATATCAGTTTAGAAGCTGTGGCCTTTCCCGTCAATCAAGATTGTGTCACCAGTGCCAGGAGGCCGGTGCCAATGTCAATCAAAACGAATTTGTTTTGAGGTCAACGATGTCGTGCCTGTTGCACCTTTTCAACAAATCTCATCAAAATAGTTAATAACACAGCAACACTAAGATGAATAAAACGTTTAATATTTCCTTAAAACAGAAAACATAATAACTCACCGGCAAGTGTTTATAACCTGTAACACCAACTCGTTCGTGCCAACAAATCGTGTACTGCCTAATCCTCGCACGAGCAATTACAACGAGAATATGGACTACTATATTCGTCCGCCAGACGTAAGATTTCGGCAGCATAAAATATATAATAAGCTACCATTTTATAGTGAGATTGATTATCTATGTGACAAGAAATACTGACCTTAACCGCATAATCTATGACACGCTTGCATCCGACGAGAACTCTAAGCGACGCCATTTTACAGAGAGGTTGAAGAGTTCAATGGCGAAATCTCGTTAAGTGCGAGAGTTCCGCGGTAGTTGAATGTACGCCTGTTGTGAAACGGAAATTATCATTTTTAGAGTATTACGTATGGTAGTAACAACAACAATAATAATCATTTATTATGAATTAATTATTATGAAGTCATAAATCGCATGACCGTGTTTATTGGTCTATTACGTAAAATCATGAAGCTATTGCATGGCACCATGAAATAGCATTATTTTTGTTACAGTGACGTATTTTGAGAAACTTGTCCTAGTATTTTTTTAAAAATCGTAATTTTTAGAACAATTCCATGAAGCACAATGATATAATACATGTACTATCAAAATGGCCACTATACACTAAATTACAACCATCATTTTCTCGAACATTAAGCTGGTGACCCCAACTTTTTTTAAGTCAATATATGCCTGGAAGTACAAATTATTGGGAAATGAATAAATTCATGGAGGATTTACATCCATGAGTAGGCTTCTACCTTGAAGGGCGGCAGTCGTCGTGCCGCGTCCTGTTCGATATGGGACTCATAGCGACGTATACAACACATGTAAAATACATTGTTTGTTTACGTGAAATGCGAACACGCGCTGCGCGACGACCACGGCCCTTTAAACCACAGTCCCTCGTGGAGGGACTGTGTTTAAACATAGAATCGTCTTATCTAAGTGGAGATATTCATTACATACATTGCATATTTAAGGTAGCGAGACTATTATTTGTGTTGAAAATTACGATTTTCACATTTATTTATTAATTGATGAAATGCACTAAAAACTTTCATGTGATAAAGTCAACATAACATAGAATGTCATGTAAGTTGGTTAAAATGTAGATTTTCTGAAGGGAAGCAAGGCAGCCTCAGTAGTGTTTTCCAAAATCAACAACACAGGTTTAATCTGTGTGCCTATAAGTTTCAAAAATAAACTCAAGACAAAGCAATGTTAGGATGTGTTATCAGTAGCTATCTGACACACAATGAGTGTTTCCAAATATTTGAGTGGTTTGTCTCCGCCCCTGTTTGTTTCACAGATTAGTCATTTGCATATGAATGTTTCAGACACAGGGTCACACAGCCACTGAAAAAAAATCATTGATTTTGGTGTTTTCATATGCCGAATTTATCCAATTATAGCTATCCCATTCCTTTATTTTTTTGGTTTCAAATAGCCTTACACATT